CTCCTGGGTGGGGTGTGCAAGTTACTTAGATTCTCTGAGCCTCAGTTTCCTTCTCTGTAAAAGGAGATAATAATAGTCGTGACTTTATAGAGTTGTAGATGAAATGAGATGAAACAAAGAGAAAAAGAAGGCAGTTTAGTAAGGCTAAAGAGGACAAAATTTGTATACATAAAACAATTATGTTTTTACATGCAACTAGCTACTAGTTACAAAACAAAATGGAAGTGTGTGTGTGTCTACACAGGCTAAGTGTGCATGCTGGTATTTCTTAGCTCTGGCCTAGAAGTGCCACCCCAGAGGCAACAAGCACACCCAGCACCCAGATCTTGGCTCCTAATACCACTCTGCAATAAAAGGAACCAGGCCCCTTGGAGAGATGGCTGATGCTGGGTTCCAAACCTAGCAGGACAAACACAAGATGAGCATGGAGTATCTCGTAACGCCGGAGTGGAAAGGAAGGAAGTCGCAGACGAAATGAAAGGATGGTGGCATGTCAGAGGCACAGAGCCCACCTGAAAAGAGTTCTCAATGGCCAATTGGAATAATTTAAGCAAAAAAAAAAATTGTTTTTTGATTGAATTGGACTTCTGGAATTAAACCCAAATTATACAATAAATACCCATGAGTCCAAACTAATATAAATGATTGAATTAACAAATAAATGCAGGAGAAGAAACAAATCCTCCTTACAGAAGAACTCCCAATAGTTTATGTAGGTACCCTGCCACCGGTCTTTTGGAGTGTGGATGGGCTGCACTTACCTGGCTTCCGAGGAGCAGACTGCATAAAGGGGGAGAGAGCAGCTTCACCGGGAGAAAGGTGGGAGCACTACGTTGGCCAAGTGATCGGGGCTAAGCTGACAGTGACGAGTCCCATTGACAGTGTGGACCCCTGATCTGATGATCGGTAGTTCACCTCTCCGGTCTTCCTCCTAAAAACCCAAACCCCAGCCTAACCATGAGAAAAACATCCGACAAACTCAAATTGAGGGATGGACTACAGCACACCTGACCAGGGCTCTTGAAATTGTCAAGGGTGTGAAAACCCAAGTGTGAGAACCTGTCGCAGACCAGAGGAGATGGAGAAATGGCAATGACATGGATCATGGGATCCAGGAAAAGAATGAAGACAAGAGTGGGAAAACTGGCGAAATCTGAATAAAGTCTGGAATTTAGTTTAAAAATTATATATAGTTTTTTATTTTATATATTATTCCTATATTTGCTCTATATTGATATATATTTACACCATAAGTATACATATAGAAAAGAATGGAAAACGCCCCATTTACAAAAGGAGCCAAAACAGAAAATACTCATGAGTCTATGTAAGAATAAATGTGCATGCAAGAACTTCTAAGTAAAGAAAAATTAAAATATTACAGACACATAAAAGCACGACCGAGAGGCATTTATTCCTCTCCATAATGTTTTCAAAACATTAATAAGATTAGTGTCATTATTCACATCATTCCCCAGAAGAGAATGTCAATTCTCCGTAAGTTAATATAAATTAATATAAAAATTGATGTGATCCAAATGAAAATCATACCATTAATTTTTTTGAAAAGCCAAACAAGTGCTAAAATTTAAACGGGACAAAGGGTGAAGAAGAAGTACTATAAATTATGAAAATACAAAGTATAGTACTTTCTAAAAAAAGCAGTGGCCAATGAATAGACAAATTCTCTGGTAGAGAACAGAGTCCAGAAAAGAATTCATATATTATGTGGAAATTCGGTCCATGATACAAATGACATTTCAAATCTGTGGAGAAAAGATGAATTATTCAGTAAATGGTGTGGAGACAACTGGGTATCCATCTGGGGAAAGAGAAAGTTGGATCCCTCACCTCGTTCTAACATAAACCCCAGATGGAGAAAGATCGAAATGCAATTTTGATCAAATGCAAATAAGAGCAGACAAGTACCAGAAAGAAAGAAGAGATTAGAAGAACACTACATGAAAAACAAGTTCAGCATGGAAAAGTAAAAAGCAGTTACAAAATGGGGGGAATCAATGACAAATGGGCATGAAAAGGACCAAAGACCATATAGAAAAATGGGCAAAAAGAAATGAAGACAGCTCACAGAAAAGGATGTGCAAGTGGCTCGAAAACACATGAACAGAGACACTTTTAGAACATAGGAAGATGGCATTTCCCCCCATGGGGTTGGCACACATCAACACACTGGGTTGAGGGTGCAGGGGAACTGGTATCTTCTTCCTGGATGGTGGGAATATAAATTGGAGAATTTTTAGCCACAGCTGTTAAAGTTATGAATGCACCTACCTTTGATCCAGCAATTCCTGTCTGAGGAAATTTGTCGCCGTCTGAAAGTGAATATTCTTTGTGGGATCACTGGTACTAGCACCACCACAGACACAGCTTGGTGGTCGTTGAGGGGCACTGGTCATGACGGCACCTTCATTCAATGGAGAGCCACACAGCTGTTATCAGAAGGCATGAGGACACCCTCTCCAATGGACTGATTACAGAGAATTCTCCACGATAGAAGTATGGTGCTGATTAGGGTGTGTTCCATGCTACCCTTTGTTTTAAAAATGGAAAAAAAACACATTAGACTTGTTGAGTCACTTTGGAAGGTAACGTTGGTTCCTTTGCAGAGGAATGAGGAGCAGGATTTTTCACTTTCCTCTATTTTTGCCTTTTGGACCTGGAACCATGTGGATGCATTGTTTTTTCAAAACAAGAACTAAAATTTAAGATGTAAAATGTGTATACGTGCTGGAGCAGCAATTCTGGGGCTAGTCCTACAGCTCCGTTTGCGCCTGTGAGCCAGGACAGATATAAGAAGACATCCACTGCATCGCCACTGTCACTCACAGAGGCTGGAAACAGCCTGAGCGCCCATCAGGAGGGGTCAGCTGGTGGCGGCCACCGCAGAGCCCGAGGGGGGTCTGTCTGTACTCGTCATGTCTGCAGTGTGCTGTCATTTGTTTGGTCAATATCTCCGTGGATTTGCTTATATACAGCACAGAATATGCCTGGACCAAAATCTAGCAACGAATTTGTTCCTAAGGAGGAAAACTTAGAACTGAGGAAAGGTGGGAGGGAGAACTGTATTCTCTGTGTGGCTGATGTTTTACCAGGGTTCAGTCACTCCCTCCATAACAAAACAAACGCAAAAACAAAGCAAACCACTAGTTGAAGATTTTTTAAAAATGTAAAATGAGGTCACACTGTCTTAGCACAGTGTCTGGCACATGGGGAACCCAGCAGGTCCCTGGATATTTGTTGGGTCTTCCAGAAAGAATATTTGTGGTTGAACTTCCCGGCTGGCTGGGACGACCTGGGCCACTGGAGAATCTTCTGCAGGATGACGAGTCCCCTGTAGGGTGTCAGGCCGGGAGGCTGGAGCACAGCAGGACCAGGCCACGTGAGGAGGGGGAGGAGGCATGTGATGGGTCCTCACGGGGTGAGTGGGGAAGGGAAGATGAAAGGGCTCAGAGGTGGGTACAGCTGGGGTATCCCCCCAAAGCGCTTCTCACAAAGGCCTGGGCCCCGGGGTGCTTGCTTCCTGACCCTGGCCCAGGCTTGGGGAACTCGAGGAGGCTCTCTGCCTGTTTCTCCCTGTGTACATTAAGGCTCTGGTGGGTTCCATCATGCTGGGCACTGTGGCCAGGAAAGGGACGAAATCATGGTAAGGCCCTACCCACAACTGCCTGAGGCCCAAGCACAGCGTGAATTAGGATGGTGAAACCAAGATGTCAGATGACAGTCCGAGGCCCTCTGTCCAACCAGGCCAGCCTTTCTCATCGGCTCTTCTCCCTCACCCAGGGCCTTGGCCCTGGACCTCAAATCACCCCTTGTCACTCCACTGGAAACAGCTATTCTAATTTAAACTTTTCTGCCCTTGGGGCAGAGGGATGGGGACAGCAAGTCATGAGGCCCTGGGTGGCTGAGCTGGCAGGTGGCAGGTAGGGGCCATATCCCTGGCAGTGCACTCCAGGGTTTTGGGTGGGAGTCAGTGCCCCAGGCTGCCAGGGACAGCAGGCAACATGGCAGGCGAGCCTGATTGATAGTCTTTCTCATCAAGGGTGCAAAACCCTGTTACTCTTGTGCACAGCCGGGGAGCCTCAAGCTGGGGCAGGGCCTTCTGAGCCCAGGGCTTCCAGGGATGCGCCAGGTTGTGCAGTTCAGGACCTTGTTCAGTTCTCAACTTGTGGTCCCCAGGGCAGCATGGAGATGCCCCAGGGTCAGAGGTGGGGCACTGCAGGGCTCGGTGCTTCTGCGGTCCCTCAGCCCCTGGAGCTGGGAAGGCAGCAGCAAAGGGAGTGGCTGGGCTGCATGGGGCAAGTTGCACCCAGGCTGCTCCTCCCTCAGAGGCAGGCTGAAGGCCACCGGCCACTGTGGCCCGGCCTGGGTTCTGGCTGCCCTTCCCTAGGACCCAGGCCAATGGCAGGACTGCAGCCACAGGAGTGTCCTTGGTGGCAGCCGGGGTGGGTGCCGGCTCAGCACTGCATTCAGCCTGCAGACAGGCCTGGTGCTGGGCCTGCCTGCCCGCCCTCTTCCTCCCACAGCTGCCCTGGATCACAGCACCTCCCTGCAGCTCCTGGGAGCCTCCCAATGACGGGGGGCTGAGGAAAACCAAACGGACACCAGCCCTCCCTGCCAACATCAGAAGGCGAGACAGCTCGGGCGGAGTTAGCATCAAGGGCGGGAGAGGTGCCAGGGAGACCAGCAGGCCTCAGCAGTCAGCACTTCAGGACAGCGTGGAGGAAGGGTGCTATCCTCAGATTGCCAGGAGAGGGCCCAGGCCCCCACCCAGAAAGGCCTTGGGACCTGACACACTGGCCAGGGACACGCTTCATGTCATCATTTTTATTCACTTTCTCTTTTTGAAAATAAAAGTAAACATACAATATATATTCTCTATGTATATTAGAGTTACTGTAGGTGGTCAGAAAAACATCTTCGGTCACTTGGAGGCAGTTTTCAATTCTGATATTTTGTGGAGGGGAAAAAACTGTCCATGATTGCCAAAAGCAGAATCCTTCTTTATTATTAAACAGCAGTAACAGGAAAACCTAATGCTGTCAGACACAACCGAACTCGGGAGGCCAGGAACGGGGTGGTGGACCAAAGGAGAAACCCTAGACGGGAAGCCCCCGCTCGCCCGATGCCCCGCCCCTCAGCCCGGGCGCTGCTTCAGGAGCCCAGGGCACGCTGTGGGGTGTACACAGGCAGCGACCCTCCTCAGGGGCAGGAAGGGCAGGAGCGGAGAGTGTGTGCCGCTGCCGGGGGACAGAGCCCAGGTAGGGACTCTGGAAGCTTCGGTCTGGTCCCCCCCGTGGGCACCAGCACTTGGGAGGCTGCAGCCTGGCTGGCGTCCCCGCAGGCCCCAGCCTGGGCAGATGCAGAGGGGGAGGTGAGGGCGCAGCCATGGGGGCCCCAGACCCTGACAGAGGAGCTCTCCTGGTGCCAAGGGGCCCTCCATGTGCCCGGCCGGGCCCACCCCACCAGAGCCGGTGGGGGGGGGGACCTCTACACCAACCCGAGAGGGGCCGAGGGGCGGGGTGCTTCCGGGCTGGGAGCCTGAGGCGAGAATGGCACACTCGCCCTTCAGGGCCTGAGGGAAGGAAGAGAAGAACCCTGGGTGCCCCTGTCCGGCTTCGGTCTCCTTGGGTTCCCTCCTCACCTGACCCTACATGTTGGCAGCAACAGAAGAGGGGGGTCCCGGGAGCCCCGTGGGTGGCCAGGAGCCCTGCTCAGCCTCTCCGGAAGGAGGTGCTGCCACTCCCAGGGGGCTACCGACAGGGCCGGCAGAAGGCCGGGGTGGGTGCTGGACGGGGCCTCAGTTCTCGAGGATGGTCTCATAGGCCTGGTACACATGCTGGGAGACCTCTGGCGCTCGACACTTCAGGGAAAGCTGTACGGGGAGAGAGGGGCCGGGGGACACAAAGCACTCATTCCCAGGGCTCCCCTCTAGGGCCGAGAAGGGACGCAAGGCAGGAAGAGGGGGCAGGAACCAGATGAAGTGTGGTGCGTACACGTGGCCTGTGGCAGCAGCGTGGCTGGGGCAGATGTGCAGTGAAGCAGAGGGCGGGCTGCACAGCCAGCCGGGCGTGCACCAAATACACTTGCAGCCCACTCGCCTGCTGTCAGCCCGGCCACCACAGCCCTGCGGTCCGACAGCAGTGTGAATCAGGAACTGGGAGCTGTCAGGCAGTGCCAGGCCCCCCACTCCCAGTACAGGGGTGGGGAGGGAGCAGGTCCCATCTGGGAGCTGGTAGTTTTTCCTGGGTGAGTACAGGTGGAGGAGAGACACCTGCTGCCACCTCTCCTGCCAAAATTACTGCTTCTGAAGGCTGTGGTTGGGAAGGGGGAGGGGCAGATGGGCCCCGGAAGTCAACCTTGGTTGCCCACAGGGCCTCCAGCCTGCTCTGAAGGGCTCTGTGCGCACTGTGTGTGTTGGGAAGCATCACAGAACTGGGGCCACCTGGCTGGAAAGCACTGGGGTGTCTGGGGTGTCAGCAGAGGGCCCCTGGCCCTTCTCCTGCAGTAGGCAGGCGAGTCTGCAGCTTTGGAGAGCAGTGGGATGAAGCAAGGTAGGGGGAACCGGGGGTGCCTTGGAGCCAGGCCAGGAGACGGGGTGTGCAAGGTGTGGGTGGGGAGGGTGGAGGGGAAAGAGGAAGAGAAAAGCAATCTGCTAACCTCCAAGTCCTGCACCATGGGCACCAGCAGGGAAGGTGGGCATGCAGCAACCGAACACAGGGAGATGGAAATTACCACCACCGAAGCCACTGCCCCAGCCACACCCAACCACCCAACCCCGCCAGTGCCAGCGGGGCCCCAGGAGCAGCGTCTGGAGGGCCATGCCTGCCAGAGACTTGGGTGCAGGGGGAGAAGCAAAGCCCGGGGCTCCCCGAGGGCCCGGAACAGCAGCACGGCCTCCAGGACAAGTGCTTCTTGGAAGCTCGGATCTGACTGGGCTGTCCCAGAGGCTGGCACGGACTTGCTGCTGGCATTGACATCTTCCCAGGCAGGCACTCAGCAGGGGGAGGGGGAGGAGGGCCAGGGTCTGGGCACAGCAGTACCACTTCCCAGTCAGGCAGGCCTCAGGCCAACTGTGCCACCTCACAGGGCCCTCACTAAACCTACTAGTCCGACTCACTGCTCTGAGACCCAGGTTGATGTCCTATCTGGGTAACTTGGTGTTTTCTAAAGTCCCTCCCAGGGGCAGAATTCTGATGTTCGTTCATGCCAGACTCAAAGGGACCCCAGCCTAGCTGGCCTAGAGCTGACCCCTGGCCCGGGAGAGCAGAGGCAGGAAAGGCCGCACAAGAGGGAGGCAGAGGCCCCAAGGCTGGCAGGGCAGGAGCAGGGGCCTCACCGTGAGGCTAGGGTTGCCCGGTTGGATGCGCAGCTCCGCCAGCACCCAGATGCCGTTGGTCAGCTTCAGGGACTGGTAGAGCATGTCCTGGCCCTCCACATTCCTCTTGGCAACCGTGAAGATGTTGCTGCTCTGCAGTCGGCTGCTCACAGCCTCTGGGGGTCAGAAGGCCCCCCAAGTCAGCGTGGGGAGGGCCTGGGGTATAGGCAAGGGGCAGTGTGTACTCGGGAGCCCTACCTGCATTGAGGGGGCAGTCTCTGATCTGGAACTGGGCTTCATTCTCATTGGGAATGTCCTTCCATGTGGCCAGGAACATCTGCCGGTCTGGTGGGGGGGGCATAGGAGATGCGACCCCGGTAAACCTTGAGGCCCCGATTAAAAACACTCAGCAAAAAAGGGGCTGTGGGAGGAGGGTGCCACCTTGATGCTGAAGACAGGCACTAGCTCCACCACAGCACCCTGCTTCCCTGAGCAACCCCTCAGCTCTGGGGAGGCGGCCACCAGCGCTGCTCCCAGAAGACCCTCAGCTTCCTGCCTCTGGGCCCTGAATCTCTCCTTGCCAGCACCCACATGTACCCAGCTCCTGCTCTGGTCCCGAGCAGCCTACTTATTTATTAGTCACGCCTGAATTAGAGCCCTTCCGTGGTGACTGGGAGATGATGTGGGCCAAGTGCCCCACATGGCACCAGGCTGGGAGTGAGCCCTCCAGGCACTGGGATGAGTCCTCTTGGGCTCCAACCAGGAAATGGGCATCAAGTGTAAGATACTGCGTGGGCTCCCTGCCTATGGGAGCCCATGCGACAACTGTCTAGAGGCTGTTGGCAAGGCTGAGGGGTGGAGGAGAAAAACCCAGAGGGGCGAGAGAGCTCCGGCACAGCACAGTCCATCAGGCCAGAGCTGGCTAGTCAACACCTGGGGCCTTATGGGTGTGACCCTTGCTCCAGGCTCTGCAGACTCATGGACTCCACCAGGGCAGAGCCAATCCATCAGTTCCAGGGACCCTAGGTGCACCCTCAGGACTCACCCATCTTCCCATCCTCTACAAAGAGGATGTGTAATGGGTACAAAGTGCTGAAGTAGAAGACATCAATGTTGTTCTTCACGGCCACCTGGGAACAAGAGGGCCCCCAGTTGGTCCCTGAAGCTTGATAGCACCTCTGAGGCTCCAGGAAGGGCCGGCTCCCTGCACCCCACACCTGAGCAGGCTCCTTCACATGCTTTCTCTGGTAACCACACCCCTTCGTCCCCTCTGAAAGGGCCTCCCTGACCCTGTAACCAAGAGCATGCCTCCACAGACTCGGCCCTTTGCCGACACCAGCCAGGCCCCAGACCTCTCCACAGGCTCCTCCCCTGGGGTGCTTGGCCCTGCCTGGAACACACCTGGAGGTTGTTCAGAGGCTCCATCTTCATGACTGAGCCCACTGTATTGAGAGGCAAGGAGCTCTCCACGGTCTGGTTGGGGCTGAGTGGTGCATGCACCTGGAGGGGGGCGGCGGGGGCCAGGCCAAAGCTGCAGAGAGAAAGCCCCCGTGGGGGAGACAGGGGGAGCAGGTGCTAACACAGGACGCGTGGGTTCCTCGAGCTCCGGCACTGGGCAGCGGGCGGCAAGACGCCTCTCCAGCAAGCCAGCCCCTGCCCGGCTCCGGGCCCAGGACAGAAGGACAAGTTCCCGACCCTCACCCCCACCCCTCAACGGCCATGTGGACAGGAGGAAAGAGCTCTGGGCTGGCCACAGGCCTGAAGTCCATCCTTGCTCTTCATTCTCCTCAGGGCGAGGCACCAGGTGGGCACGAGCACGGCTTGCCCTGTCCCACCCTGGAGGGGCCCCATCTAATACCAGGGGCTGGACAATAAGCTTCCTCTAACTGAAACGTCTGTGATGGCCCAAGTCTGTCTCCAATCCCCACCTCCCGGGAGGGACGTGACGATCCCCAGTGAGATGCCAGGCTTTCCGGTCTGGGCTAGAACTGGCCAGGTCAGAGAGTCAGGCCACAGAGAGATTCAGGAAAGCCCTGCTTCCCAGTATAGCAGCACCCTGGCAGATCATGGACCCCCTGAGTGAGAGATGCCCCACCCACAGGCTCGCAGAAGGCAAGTCACAAGCATATGACTGGGACCCGGAATCGAGCGCTCACTGTGCCCAGGCTGGGCATTTGATACATGCTAATTCCTATCCTCATAAGAACAGCGACAGGTACACATTCTCCCACCTTCCGGGACACAGAAAGGGGCAAGCCCGTGCCCAGACCCATAGGTGCAGAGCGCTGCTGAGATCCAGAGCCTGAGCTGCCCAATCCCAGCCTGTGCTCTGCCCACCAGGCAATCAGGCCTCCCTGGGACACAGGGGGAGACAACGTGGGGAACCATGGGCCCTCGTGGTGGCCCGGCACTCCAGGCTTTCCTGGAGGCTCCTCCACTGCCTGCTGTGTGCTCCTGGGCAAGGCACATGCCCTCTCTGAGCCCAGGTGTCATTACTTATTGCAAGAGGATAACAGCGTTGACCTCACCGGGCTGTCAGGTGTCTCAAGTGAGACAAGACTCCTAAAGCCCTTGGCACAGGGCCTAGTACCCAGGAAGTTTTCAACCCACAGTATGGCTGTTGCAAGCCATCTCAGGACTTCTGTCACAGAGGCACTGCTGTGGCCTCCGGGGTCGGGTGAGGGTAAGCAGCTGAGCTACCACCACCCTCCCCGCTCTGATGGAGGGTCAGGACCCAGGGGCCTGCGGGACCCTCCTGAGGAAGCAGCCCCTTCAGTCAACTTCTTAGAGGCTCAGTTTGCTCATCACCAGAGCTGCTCAGGAAGCAGAATCATCAGGAGAGGCTGCGTGAGTCCCCCAGAGAGCCCTGGCCTAGCTGGCCTGTCCACGCAGACCCGGGTAGTGCCGGATGGGAGGCAGGGGGCCCAGCAGGGTGAGGAGCCCAGGGCAGCCACTAGTTCGGGGCCTTGTCTGACCGTCTAATCCTTTGCCACATGGGGGAAGCTGGCAGGCAGGCCCACTCCCCTATCAGCCTTCTCAGAGCTGGGCCTGAGATGGGAACAACCTGCTATGGAGGTGCCTTCCAGAGGTGGGCTACTAGGCTGGAGCAGGGGTTTTGTCAGTAAAACACTCTTGAGCAGGGATGGCAAAAATAAGGGGAGATGACCTACCCCCTATGCCTGGTGCGTTTGGGTCCACGTAGGTGTAGGGGTGATGGTGGGGCTTGAGGCGCGGCTGTGAGGAATATCCACTTGCACCGGGCCCCTCCCAGCCCCGGCTCCTGCGTATGGTCCCCAGGGTGGGCTCCCGCCAGGCTGGCCTCGGAAGCTCACCTGTTGCGGTTGAACTGGATGGCAAAGTCAGTCATGACCTGCAGGGCCTTGTTGGTCAGCTGCAGGTCCATGGAGATGGAGCCCACCTGGCGGGTGAAGGTGCCTGAGATCTCCAACCCCTTGGCCTTCATGGCCGGGAGCCAGACCTGCAGGAAAAGATAGTGGGGAGGGGCTCACGTCTGTCACTTCCCCAAAACTCAGCCGACCTGAGGGGCTCTTTCCACTCCATCGCCTCTTACTCTCAGGGGCTCCCCAGATTGGCCACACCTGCTTTTACCACTAGGGAATGACCACGTGTATCTTGGGATCAGAGAACGATCCTGTGTGGCCCACGCAGGGTGTGGCCGTGTCTTGGAGCAGCTCGGGGCAGGGAGGAGCTGGTGTACTCAAGGTCTGACCGGAGCCTTCAGAGGTCCAAGAAGGAATGCTCAGGAAGCAGGGCTGAGGAAGGCGACAAGACAAGCAGGCCCTGCCCGCCTTCAGACAGGCCAAGGAGACTCGAGAGGCCAAGAGCATCCTGGGCCCCAGCCAGGGCCTGAGGCCTCCCTGGCTGCCAGTCTGTCCTTCCTCACTGAGGGAAGGGCCGGCCTATAACTGGAGAAGCGGGTCTGATCAAGGACAGGACCCAAGAGGACCCCTGGCTGGCAGGCCCTCTACTGTTCGGCTGCCTTTGTCTTAGCTCCAGGGTCTTAGCTCCAGAGCTGCCTCCCCTGGGAAGCCCACCCCTGGCTTCCGTCCCTATGTTCATGCTGCAGTGACATTTTAGCAAATAAGCACAAGCCTGTGTTCGTCTCCCCTGCACCCAGCCAGATCTTTGAGGGAAGGGCTCTGCTTTTCTATCTTTATATTCTCAGCTTGGAGTTTGGTGTGGAGTTGGTATTCAGGGAGCGTTTGCAGAGCAAAACAGCTTGAATTAAAGCCCTGCCCATGAAGGATGCCTATGGGTGTCATCCTGGGGACATATTCTCACTTGGAAGGCTCTCAAGCCCCTGAGGTCAAAAGGCTCAGTTTCACCACATCTTCCCCAAGGTGCCTTTGTCAGCCAATGTCTGTCTCTCAACGTGCCAACACCGGGAGCCTCAGAGCCACCTGGGCGCCCGCCCTCAGCCCACCCCGACCCTCAGTCACACAGCCCAGGTCCTGTCAACACCACCTCCTCCACCTGCTGCCAGGTCCTCCACTCCCTTCTCTCCACAGCCACTGTCTCCTCCTCAGAGTTCACCAGGTGAGAGGGCAGCTGCCTGTGCGGCCGCTCCAGTTCCTCTGCCCCCTTTCTGCAGCAGCTGAAGTCATCTTTTAAAAATGTGAGTCTGATCGCGTCACCCTTAGAAACCCTTCCGGTCCTGCAATGCTTTCACTGCGCGTGGCCTCCACGGCACGGCGCCCTCCTGCCCAGGCTGGGGTTGCAGCTGCCCCTCCGGCCCTCAGGCACACTGCTCCCTCTCCCTGGAAAGGGCTTCCCCAGGCCCACCCTGACACCCCCCGTACTTGCTGACCCTGATCCTCCTTTGCTTTCGCTGGACAAATCTGTGAGGGCAGCGGAATCTTGTGCCTTTAGCTCTCAGGGGTGGCTCGGCCAGCAGACAGCACTCAGAGGACTCCCACACGGTGACCTCCCTGCACCCCGCCCCCCATCAGGCCTCCTTCCACAGGTTCTTGCAGAGCAGCCTCTCTTTTGGTCACCGTGTCTGACTGCTGAGGGTGGGGACCTCATCTTTCTTGGTCACTGTGGGTTCACAGCATTTAGCACAGGTCCTAACACAGAGATAACCCTCAACATTTAATGAACTGTCACCACCCACTGGTCCAAGTGCTTGAGGAATCCCAAGTTCTTGTACACAGAGAGCCTCATCCCCCTTGACCAACAGGAAGTTGGGGATGTATTTATCGCCACAGGTAGGGCAGAGAAATGCACGGGGACAGACAATTCTAGGCAGTCACAGTGGTGTTAGGAAATGCAGAGGACATACCCACAGCTTCTGAAGGGAAAGTACACCCACGTTTGGGGAACTCCTGTGACTAAGGTAGTGGGGAAAGTCCAGCCCATGCTGCAAGGATTCCTCCTCCAGGCAGCCTGCTCTGAGTGCTCCTGACCTGGGAATCCCCCCACTTCTCATTTCCAGCACTTGCTGGTGGTATACCCATGTGATCCTCCACTCAGAGCAGGGGCAGTATCTGTTAAAATGAACACACAAGCGGAGGGCTGGTTCCCCAAGGGCCAGCTCCAGGCTCTGTATGTTTGCCAGCTCTCCAGTGCCCGGCAAGGGTTGGCACCCACAGGGCTGCAGGAGTCATGGCTGTTCTGTCGCCCAGTCCTGCCTTAGGCCTGTGACCCCGGGCTTCTCACGTGTATGGGTCGGCCTCATGCATCGGCACAGCCAACCTGGGCAGTGATAGTCAACCGGACATTTTTACATCAGACCGTGTATCCGTCTGTTCTCTCAGTCCTACTGATTCTGACAACCCGTGACATTAGGCAGGCCCACAGGAGGTTCTCAGACATTTGGGGCACGATCACATAGGACCAGAGGCTCTGGTGCCACAACCCTGCATTGAGTTTCAGACTCTGTCACTTATCAGCTATATGACCTTAGGCAAAAGCACTCAGATTTCTCAACCACAAAATGGGAAACAGTACCACAAGGCTGCCAGGAGGAGTCAGTGGGACGCGGTTGTGCCATACTTGTACAGTCCCTGGCGCTAGACTTGCTCTCCCTGTGGGCCCCTTGGGGCTCTAGCCACCACCAAGGCAGGCACAGCAGGCACACTCAGTGAGGAAGGGTGGGCAGGTGCTGGCTCATAGTTCCCCAGTCATGACAGAGGTGTCACTCTACTCCTGAAGCCCAGCTGCACCCTAATCTGGGCAGGGGAGCTTGGGAGACAAAGAGAGGCTCTGGCAGAAAAGGAGGTGGCAGATATGGGGTCGGCCCTGAATGTGGAGGGGATCCAGCCGGGTCCACCCCCTCTGGCAGCACCCCTGATGCCGAGGGCATGGCCCGTACCTCGCCTCCTTGGTGGCAGATCTGAGTGTCCCCATACCCCCGACTCAGCTCTCCTCCCCTGCCCCACCCCCATCTGCACAGGGCGCCTCCCCCACACACCAAAGCCCCTCCCTCCCCATCAGCTGCCACACCCTGCCGGTCCTACCTCCCAGGGACCTCCTGGTCCAGCCTCTTGCCTTCCCCTTAAAGGTGCCCTCCTTGCGTAGGCTGCCACCAGCATGCGTCACCTCCTGCCAGTCTCCTCACTGGGCTCCTTGCTTCTGCTCTACCCCTGCCAAACCATCCTCCACGCTGTAGCCAGAGCAACCTCTAGTACAAATCTGGCTCATCTCTGCTTACCTTCCAAGGGCTCTGCTGTGCCAGGGCACCCCCACAGCCTGGTGCTACCAACCTCCCCAGATTCTTCCCTCCCGCGTTAATCTCTGATTTGGCCAGGAGTCTTGGCAGGGGGTCCTGACCCCAGGTAGCATGTGGGCATTCTGGGGCATCTTCAGGTGGCACAGTGAGAGAGAGGCACTACATTTAGGGTCAGAGCTGCTGGACATGTGCCAGGGGGACAACAGTCACCAAGTCAGCAAAGTGTCTGCAACCCTTGGGTATGTTCTGCATGGTGTCAACATTCCCTGAAACTGTCAGGAGCCTAACCACGGTGAAAATCAAGAGAAGTCTGTCTTGCTGGAACTTTACCAGGGATCAGCAGCCACTGCAGAGACTAACAGCACCCCTGGCCACGCGGCCTACAGCACCTGCTCCGAAGCACTCTGTGGGTGTGGCCGACACCCTGACTGCACTGCTTCTCCAGGTCTTCTGGGGTGGGCAGTGCCCATGCCTTCACAACACCAAGATAGAAAATTTTTCTCTCTTACTTTTACATCTCTTTTATGCAGTGATACCATCTTATTGATTGGTTTTGAAACTCTGTGTAGGCAGGTCGCACAGTCCACAGATCTTACTGAAGGACAGGAAAGGAAGGGGGCATGATGAAACGTCTACTACTGGTAAGGGGCACAGGATCGGACAGCACTGAGAGCCACCGCCCCAACTAGGTGGGAGTCTCAGTTCCCAGCAGGCGCAGGCTCTCTCTCACCTCTAGCCTTCCCACGGGCTGTTACTTTCACCTGGAGCCCCTCTCCACTTCTGCCTGGCCAATTCTGACTTGATCTGGAAGCCTGAGCTCCAGTGACCCCACTCTGGGAAGACTTCCCCAGGGTCCTAGCTGACAAACTGCGCCCCTGGAGCCCAGCCTCACTGGCCTGGGCTGACTGCATGGAAGGGCCATTTAAGGAGCCCACACGTCACTCTCTGACTGGTCTCTGCTCCAGCCACGAAAGCAGGTGTGGTACTTACTGTTTTGGGGGCCACATATGATCCTGACAGGGTGCCCACGCCACTGGTCAGGTCAAAGAGGTCACTCAGGCCACTGCCCACGGTTGCTCCCAGGTTGGCTGGCACTGCTGCTGCTGGGGGTGCCACAAAGTTGGGGGCCCCGATCTGGAAAAGCAGGGAAAAGGGTCAGAGGCAGGGACCTGAGGGGCCCAGAATGGGTGGAGCCACCTGGCTCTTTAGAAATCAGGGAGGCGGGACAGGAGGGGAACCGCAGGGCTGCTGTCACATCACTCTGAGTTAAAGAAACAAGGCCGAGTGGAGGCTGGGTCGGACAGGCCGAGCCCTCCCACACCCTGCAGCCTCAGGGGACGCCTCTGGGAAAGGGCTGGGGACACTTGCAAACTAACACGCACACGCAGCCCAGAGATAACAACCCAAGACACACTGCTGCAAGGAGCTGTGCTAGGCCAGTGGCAGTGTGCCCTCCAGGATGCTGGAGGGGCCGTGGGGACCCAAAGGGCCAGCGATCCTCGGGACGACCGTGCAGCTTTGTCATGAGGTAAGTGGGCACGGGGTGAGGAATTCGTGGTATGGGGCCCAGTGGCAGCCGGACGCCAGGTGGTCAAAGCAGAGGCTGCCAGGACGCTGGACAGAAGGCCAAGGCTCAGCAGGGAGGGGCTGCTTTGACATCATCTGACCCTTGGGATGCTGGGCCAGCGGTCTCAGGAGGAGTAGGGACGAAGGCTTGGTGACACAAGGGTTGAACCGTACCCCTTCAGGCTCATCCCCCATCTCCAAGCAGAAGCAGGTAGGGTGAAGAGAACAGGCAGCCACATGCAAAAAAGAAAAGGCAGGAAAGAAGACACAGAGGAACGAGAGAGGGGGAAGGAAAGGGAAAAGGTTAGTTATGGCTGCTCCCTCAGAGATGAGGCTGGTACGAGGCTGTACCGGGCCTAAGGGGGGCCTGGGCTGCCTCTCTTAGGAGCACTACCCCCCAGCTTCACCCCAGCACCCACGTCCTGTCATGGTCCCTCCTCCCCTTCCCTGCACTGCAGCCCTGGGGACCTGAGCTGGCCGTCCCCCCCACCTGGCTACACCAGCCACCTGAAGAAGTCCCAGGGAGATACTCAGGCCAGTCTTATCACCGGCTTTCTACAGGGGAGGGGGGACTGTCCCTGACCTATTGTGGGCCTCTCTCAGGCCTGCTGGGCTGCCGCCCCCAGCTGGTGCAGAGTGTGGGGATAAGGAGACACAGGTAAGGTTCTTCCAGCCTCAGAAAGCCAAGGTGCCTGTGGGGGGAAGGGACTAGGACCGGCCTTCCACTGCCCCAAGTACCTGAAGGCTCACTGGTCTGGCAAGGGACTGAGTCCTGTGTCTTGCCATTTAACAGCTGTGCGCTCCTGGGAGGGAAGGTCACCTGACCTCTGTTCTCTCTCTCTCTCTCTCTCTCAAGCCTGTTTTCTCACCTATAAGTAGGGAGCTACGTGATCACCTTCACAGGCAGATGTACCTGGGCCCTTGGTTGCGCCTGGCACAGAGAGGGCAGTCAATGACTGGTCCTTATCATTATCGGTGTCATCTAGAGGGGGTCCCAGGGCATACCAGGCTATCGAGGCCGCTGCCAAGGAGGTCCACAGCTCCCATCTGCACCGACGAGGTGGCCAGGGGCGGCCCACTCACAGGGGGGCCGAGGTCCAGGTTGAGGAGGTCACCCAGCAGGTCGCCCTGGGCAGGGATGACGTCCGGCTGCTCACCAGGGGGGGCCCCAGCAGGGGCCGTCTCAGGGCTTTCGGTGCTCTCGCTCCTTTGAGAACACAGGATGGCGGGGATCAGCAGGGTTGGGGTCGGGCTGCCTCAGAGTCCCCAGTCTCCAGGATCCTCCCCCAGGACAGGCACCTGCGTCTCCGTGATGTCCCAGAAGGGGCTGTCTGTGCGCCCCTCCTCCCCCTCCCCATGCCTGATCCATCTCTTCTGCCCTCCAAGGAATCCAGCTTCATGGAGATGACTGAAGGGAGAGGCCGTCTGCTTTCCCACCACTCAGCCACTCTAAAGAACAGATGGGGTGCCAGGCCCCTCCCGAGCCAACCGCTTGGAAGGGCAGAGGAGGAGGGTGAGAGTGGGGCTCTGGAAGTAAAAGAATGGAGCTGGTCCTCGCTCTGCTGGGTGTGGGACGCTGTACCAGGCCCTCAAGCTCTCCGTGCCCACTGTCCTCATAAACAGGGACATCTCTCAGAGCTGTTGTAAGGACCAAACGAAGTCGCCTAGCCAACACCTGGCGTGTAGTGAGCATTCAATAAAAGGTCATCAGAATCATGATTCCCCTCAGACTCAGGCCTTGCCAGGAGACATCACATCAGGCCTAAGTGCCTGGGCTACTGAACTGAGGCACGAGGTAGGGCACACGCAGCCCAGCGACCGGCCCACGGCACTCACGAGGCAGTACGGGGTGGCAGGCTCTTGTGCACAATGCCCCGGCCACCCTCCACGAAGGCGCTGGGTGGCTTGTGGTAGACGGAGGCCAGGGTGCCAATGTAGCAGATAAGCTCGTCCAGCAGTGTGGGCTCGATGAGGTCCGTCTCTTCAGAGATGAGCGGCTTCTCGGCCAACACCACCTCCTTAGCAGCCACGGGGTCCGTGGAGAGCAGGCGCCAGTAGATGTAGCCACGGTCCCGCAGGTCTGGGTTATCCGAGTCCTTGGTGAGGTGATGAGAAGCCCGTGAATCTCAGAGCAGAGCAAATGGGTGAAGGGGAGGGAGGAGCCCCTCGGCACAACCGCATGATCCGGGCGCGGTCACAGGGCGGCCAACGACGGCGATCCCGAGTGCTCCTGAGAACTCGTCCCTGAATCCTTCAACGGACAAGGGCCCCTCTGCTGGTTTCCCACGCTAGCCCGGCCTCAAGCAGGTCATGCTCACTTTCGTCTCCATCCCCTGCCCCCCTCCCGTCTGCCCTTCCTGCCTCTGGTTCCCCTGCCCCTCCCTCCCGCTCTCTCAGTCTGTCTCAGCTTCACCACCTGTCCCTACTCTACCTTGATTTGTTTGTGAGCAGGGACCCTGGTTGACTCTGGTGCCAGACCCCCTAGGTGCCAGCCTGAAGGGCAGGACCTCGAAATGAAGGTCTGGCGTATTGGGCTAAAGCGAACCCCATGGAGCCAGCGCGGCGCTGGGCACAGCAGGGAGGCGGGGCACCCACCTGAGTGGCCAGGCTGAGGACCTGCTGCACAAGCTCCTGGGTCTCTGTCGGCTTCTTCAGAAAGAGTTTCACGATGGCCGTCAGGAGCTGCAGCTGGACCTGCGTGAACAGAGGTGACCAGGGGCAAGTGTGGGCTTCGTGTGGGAACAGCAGAAAAACAAGCGAGGACTTGATGAGGGAAGAGGGCATCCAAAAGCCCTGGGAGCCAAGAGCAGCTTTCCTAGGTTTGGGCCGGCCATGAGCACAGACTAAGGCCAGCCCCGGGGGCTGGCAGTGCTGACTAACCTAGACCTTGGCATCACTGCTTGGAAGGAACTGGCCACTTTACTATTTGGCGACCCCCTTCCAGCCCCGGGTCCCGGAAACCTGTGCCTTAAGGAGCTCAAGGCTTAAAATGGCAACATGTGTAGCTGGTATACTTCTTAAAGGGACCATCTGTCAACAAGCAGAGATGGTGCCAGCGAGGCCCAGGGGAGTGGGCCAGTTGGGCCCACAGAGCCAGCTTGTCACTGAGGGGCTCTGCTTCTACCAGAGCGTGGGAACCATTCCTGCCCAGCCCTGGCCTCTCACCCAGCTGCTGCCCTGGGCCTGGCCACCACTCCTCACTCCTGGGGTCTCTGGGCTTGCGCCCCTCATGGGTGCTGCCCCACAGTACTGGAAATGCTCTCCAGCTGCCTGGCTACCCTGTGCAGAGCCCCTCGAGGGCAGAGATGTCTGTCACAGCTATGTCCTTGGTTACTGCTAGAGCTGGTGCCCAGTGCATAGTAAGCACTTAAGACAAACTCACTGACTGAAAAACACCTCTGAAAGAGCAATTCCTGCACGCAGTCCTTCAATAGCCACATCTTATCTTCACCAGTCCTGGGACAATCAGGGCTGCGCCAGGGACAGGCTTGTGGCAGGAGGGTGGGAATGAGGCTGGTGGCACCTCGTGGAGGAGGGCACTTTCAGAAACAAATGGCTTAATTACCCTGGTAAGCTGGGTGGGCTGAGTGTAGGAGGCAGGATGGAGGGGATGTGGTCTGTTTCTGGGATGAAGTGGTCCAGAGTCATTGGGATTTGGTTACACATAGGCCAATGGCAGAAGAGCAATGGGCAGACTGTTTCCAAGACAGGAGGCAGCCCAGGGACTGGCTTTCCGACCTGGCTCCAGCCCCTGGCCGGGCAGCCTAGAAGAAGCCATTTTCCCTGAGTCAGTGAGGAAGAGGTGTGGCCGACTTCAGCAGGTTCTTGTGAGTTTTGCAAATGGTAATTTATGGCAGCAGATTTGGAGCTACAGTTAAATCATACCTCATTTGGGCCTTGGCTCTATCACTTCCCAGCTGGAAGACGCTGGACAAGCCATTGACCTTCTCTGAATTGGTTTCCTCATCTACAAAATGGGTGTAATGCCTCATAGTGGTAATGAAAGGGTCAGTGAGACAAGAAATGTAAAGAACCTATTCTGTATTCTGCTCAATACATAACAGCAGTCATCGTGGTTGTTGATATCACCATGGTCACCACACAGGGATGCTTTACCAAGGTCTCCCCAACCCAGGCCAGCCGGCTGCCTGGAATTGCTCTCCACTGTCGGGTCAGCTATGCTGCCTGAGAGCTCTGCCACGGGTCCAGCACCCCTGGCGCCCCAGCGTGCTGATGCGCTGTGAGCCTGCATGTTCAGGGCAGCCCTCCTGCAATGAGGCCACTGCCCCTTCTGGCTAGACAGGGGTGAGGTGCAGGATGGGCTGACATACCATCTTGGCCAAGACTTTCTGAGCTCCCCATGGCTGGAGGGTCCTAGGAGCCTACCATGGGGGGGCTCAAAAAGCCAATCTAAGATAAATTCCCAACCGTGAGGCACTGAACAGATGCTCTTATCAAAGCTTTGACCTGTGCTGTAGACCCAGGAGGCAAAGGGAGCAGGCCGTTTAATCAGAACCACCATCGCCACCACTCAGCTGAGCTCTGGAGCGGCAGTTTCTGCGTACATCTTCCGATAAGCTTTGCGGGGACCCTGAGCTGGAAACAAGGGAAGAGGCTCGGGGGTTTAACTTGCTCCAGGCCACCCCACAGGGAAGGAACCCGGCCCGGAAGCTACAGAACCCTGTTCCGTTTCCCCACACCAGGCTCCTACTCAGCTCCCCCTTGTCCGACTTCTCTAATCCTGGCTCTTTCACAGGCTTTGCCAAGGAGGATGAGGCTGCAAAAGATTTACCCTACTATGTGGGCAGAAATAGCCCCACAGGACATCCTTTGCAGTAATCCCAGGCAGAACTTGACTGCAGGCAGAAACCACTCCAGGCCAGGCTTTGCTTCTCAGAGACAAAAGGTTGGTGTGGTGGAAGTGAAGGAAGCCCCGGGGCCAGGCTGGCAGCTGGACTTGGCAGGTGGCAGTGGGAGATGGTGGGAGTTGTTACTATTATTTCGTACGGACATCTGTTGTTTTTGCCCACCCAGCATCTATGCCATCTTCTGGTTAACAAACACTGGCTTTCTTTCAGAAAACTGCCCATCCTGGTCTCCATGGATTGAGAGGGACGGTGTTCACAATCACAGTGACTGGCTCAAAACAATGTGAGTTGCGGGAGTCGCTAAGCTGTAAGGATGTGTCCTGGAAGCAGTGACGCACTGTGGGAGCCTGCCCGAGGAAGCAGCTGACCCAGGGAGGCAGAGACGGTCCAGATGCCACTGTCTGGGCACACTCACCTAGGAGTGCTAGAAGGGAGCTCACTCCCTGGATTTACCAGCTACAGGGACCAATTGGTCCCCTTTTTTGCCTGGAAGAGTTTGCTTTTACACCACTTCTCACCAACACCAATGCTACCATCCATGAGTGCTTGTTATGAGCTGGGTGGTGTTAAGGACGCATCCCATTTAACTTTCACAACCACAGGATTCAGGAAAGTCTTATGATCCTCGTTTTACAAATGAGGAAACTGAGGCTCAGAGTGGCAGAGGATTAGCATAGAACCACTGAGCCAGGAAGAGGCAGAGAGGGGGGAATCTGGGGTCTCTAATTCTACGGCCCATGCCCTGACCCACTGGGTTATACTGCCCCAGTTGGGAAAGCACAGATTTCTGTGCATATAAACAGACATTTTAAAGGACCCTCCATGCAGAGGCAGAAAGTCTCCAGTTCACAGAAAAGAGAATAGAATACACATGAAAAGATGCTCAATCCCATTCAGAACAGAAATGCAGACAAAATCACAGCGAGGTACCCCTCCCTCGCTATCTAGCAGGTTGGCAAAAATAAAGTTTGAGGATGCCCTAGGCTGGCAAGGAGGGAAAGATGGGCTATCCCACCTCTGAGACAGACCTGTACATCAGGAGGGATTACACCAAGGAACACCTGGTATGCTTCCCACATCTCCAGTGCACAGGCCTTTTCATCCAAGCATTCTGCTTCTAAGAATCTATCTCCCAGCTGAACTGGCAGGTGTGCCTTACACAGGTATCCACGGCAAAGTTGTTTAAAAGAGCAGCAGAAAGACATCTAAATGTCCATTGGGGAGGCTGGGTAAATAAACATGTTATCTTTGCATGAAGGACTCCTATGCAGCTGTGAAAGGTTCTCAAATTACTAACGGCAGGGCCTTCAGATAGACTTTCAAGGGGAAAAGGTATGGTGCTGTGTAATCTGAATTTGCACAGTATGCTACCAATAGTATTTAAAAATAAATGAGAGGAAACATATACAGTTGATCCTCATTAACTCGTGGAGTCCACATTTCAAATTTGCTGATTTGCTAAAATTTACTTGTAACCTCAAATAAATTCCCATTCACAGACACATGCAGAGCAGTGAAAAACTTGAGTTGCCTGACATACACATTCCTAGCTGAGGTCAAAAGAGGTGACGCTCTTTGCCTTTTTGCTTTAGCTCTCGAATTGTAAATAAGTGCCACATATTTCCCAGTTTTGTGCATTTTCATGATGATTTTGCTGTTTAAAGCAGCCCCAAGTGTAGGGTAAAAGGGTGTCCAGTATTGCTGCTAAGCACAAGGCTGTGATGTGTCTTATGGAGAAAATACTGTTAGATAAGCTTTGGTCAGGCATGAGTGGTAGTGCTGTTGGCCTCAAGTTCAATGTTAATGAATCAAGAATATATGTTAAATAAGGTGTCTTTAAATAGAAACACACAAAAGCAAGGTTATATACTGACTGAACCTGTTTCCCCAAGGAACGGTGTTTCAGTACCCACTAATTCAGTGTTTGTGGTGGCTTTATAGAATGTAAGGACCGTGAATAATGAGAGCCAACTGTTGATGTGTATGTTTACATATGTATAGCGGTATGCATCTGTAAGTATTCCCAAGAAGCCAATAAATAACACTGGTGGTCTCTGGAAGAACTAGCGGTCAGGACAGTGTTGGGAAGGAGACTTCTCACTATGTATTTATATCTTTCAATTTTTAACCAAGTCAGTGTATTACCTATGCATAGGTAAATATGAAATTAGAACAAAACAAGAAGTATTTGCCTGCCTTCAATGCACACCATCACAGACGGTCCTCACAATCCCCTTGGGCACTGCAGCATGGCAGACAAATGGGCCACACCCGCCATACACTCCTCACTCATCGTTCTGTGCACCCCATCAGCACAGCATTCGGAGGGGCGGGGCCCTCAGGCTGCTGGCCGAGGGCAGCGTGTAGGGCAGGGCGGACCGCAGTGACGCCGAGCTACAGGCCCAGCCGGCATCCCGGCTCGCGCTGCCCGCCGGAAGACTCACCTGGGTGCTCTCGTCGTGGAAGCCCTCGAGGAAGCTCTCCAGCAGCTCATCGGCATTGTCGATCCGCTCAGCATACTCGCCCACGATCCAGATCATGGCAGCCCGGGCCTCAGGCTCATCCAGCGAGTCCAGGTTCTCGCACAGCGTGGCGATCACGCTCTCGTACCTGGGACAAGCGCACAGCCAGCGTGGGAGAATGCAGGAGCCCAGGCAAGCCAGGGGAGGCCCAGCAGGGGTCAAGAGAGACTCCAAGAAGGCGGTGAGTTAATAAGATTTGAATTTTAGCTGTTACATTTTAGTTCTTACTTGGTTCTTAGAAGCAGAGGAGGGGCAGCTCAGGAGAAATAAGAAAAAACAAAGGGTTTCTTTTGAGAATGATGTTTGCGGCAGTGAGGGAAGGAAGAGGGGAGAGGCTGCCCCTCGTTTTTTCTCCTCCCCACTGCCATCCCCTGCAGAGCCGCGTCACCCTCACTGGGAGAGGCAGGCACGTACTTGTTAGGGTACTTGCGGAAGATGTCCTTGATGACCACGATGGCTTCCTGGACCACATAGTTGACCTTGGTCTGGATGAGGTCGAGCAGAGTGCTCACACAGCGCTCTGCAGATTGCTGTGCGGGGAGAGAAGAGTGTGGGCAAGGCCTCCGCACGCGTTTCCAGCAGAGCCCCAGTGACATGCCTTGCCCAGGGCTCAGTCACTCCCTGTCACAGCAGGAGAGCAGGAGAACACTCTTCCTAGATCACAGGTGGAAGAACTAGTCCAGTGGGATGGCCTGCGCACAGTGGGCACAGCGGAGGGGGGAGTTAAGCTGAAAAGGCCCGTAGAGCTACTGAGAGTGGGGAGGGTCCTTGGACCTCATCCAGGCCAAGGCCTGAGGGCAGAGGGATGAAGCTCCAGCCTGACCCCACCTCACTTCTAACTGTGTCATAAAATGGGCTCCCGTGACCAAAATCCCTAACCTCTTCCTTACTCCACACACTGCACCAATGTGCTTGTGGGAGAGATTTCACAGGATGCCAGGATGCCATCACAGGCGCCAAGGGGAAAATCCCTCGAGGGGCTGGGGTGACCAGCTGTCCCAGGGTCCCCTAGTCCCCAGTGGACCCATGTAAGGAGAGCTGCTGGCTCAGTGGCCAAGGAACATCTTCATGGGCAGAGAACGGGAGGAACGAAACGCCAGGACACAGGGGTCTAGATGGCCCTTGGGAGCTTGGAGAAAGGGGCACATGCTGAGTCATGTTACTTGCCAAACAGTCAACAGAGCCTTTGCCCACGGCCCCAGGAAATGAAAGCTAAGTCTACCACCCCCAGCTGGGGCCGCCCCATCCTCTGAGTCAGTGCTGCACAGAACCCATGATTCTCATGGGCTCATCTCATCCGCAACATCTTGGAGGCCTAAAGGAGGTTAGAAGGTGAGGAGGAGCCCAACCAAACCAGTGAGTGCCCTGGGCCTTCAGCAGTGACCCTCAGGCCCTCCCGGACCTGAGCTGGCAGATTCTGCTAGAATCAGATTGGTTTCCTGGGTTTAGCTTTGTTCCCTCTGCTCCCCCCCGCCGAGGACAAGGTCCCAGAGTCTCACCTCCACCTTGATGGCACAGCGGCCAATAGCTCGCACAGCCTTCCGTACAAAGTCCACATCCACCTCTGTCGCATACTCCTTCAGCTCTGCTAACACCTGTGGCCCGGACAGAGAAGATGGGGTTGGGATATCTTGTGGGGCAACCTCTTGAAGCACCCTGGGCAGTGGGTACACAGACCCCTAGAAGGAAGGCCCTCTGCCTCGTGCGCTAGGTGGAAGGCCCGAGGGAGGCAGAGAGCTGTCAGCTGCCTCCAGAGGAAAGTGAAGGACTAGTTGGTAGAGCTGAACAACCCTTGTCTGAAGTTATGTAGCTAATATATCCTCCTAACTACCACTTTTTCAATGGCTGGATGATAAGTAATAATAGGGAGAACAAATTAGTCACAAAAATATGAGTTAGCATTAGCTGAGTGCTTGCTTACAGAGCCCCATGCTGATAAGCACTCTTCATGAGATCAACTGCTAATGGTGAGATCCGGCAGCCTGCCCAGAGACCACAGCTCACTGGTGATGCTGCTGCCCAACACCAAAGCCCAGCCACTGCCCTCTGCTGACCTGGGCGATGTTGGCTTGGGAGGCCAGGCGGATCATAATGTCCAGCTTCTCCAGCTTCACGTAGATGGGGTCATTGTACTTCACGAAGAAAACCTTCATCTCGTGCTTCAGGATCTCTGGCCTGGTTGCAGGGCAGGATTGACCGAAGAGCAAAAAGCAAGGTATAAGCCTTATGAGAAAAACCCCTCCACGTTTGCTGTATCATATCTGGGGTCTGACATGGAGCCCAACATCTGTGAAGGCAGTCACTGCCGTGGCTACACACTTCCGGGCAGAGGGCCCAGCAACCAGCCTAAGCAAGGTTCTGACTGGCCACTGTGCGTCCAACCACAGCCAAGGAAGGGAAGAAGGAATATGAGCAAGAGACAGTTCATATTCGAGGGGCAGCAGGTACCAGGCCACAGGTGTGGGAATCAGACAGACCTCGGTTCCAGTCGCAGCTTGTGACCTCAGGCCTGCTTCCTCAGCCATGAAACGGGAATGACACTGTGTCAGAAAGCATCACCACTGCAGGCCTGAGTCTCTCTAGTGTCTTAAGTAGGATGGCCTGGCATCTGGGAGCTTGGCTTTAGGGAGTGTTCTCACCATTCACTCAATGATAAAGGTAGTTAGATATACCTAGACTAGATGTACAACCCAACAACATGGTTTATGCTCAACACCTGCTTTCCTTCTGGGAGTCTAGGATTTTAGTAGCTGCCAGGCAGCTGGTGCCTACCCGACCAGCTCCCAATAAAATTTCAGGTTGTTGACTCTCAAATAAGTATCCTTGCACAGAGATATTACACATGTGCTGCTGCATTTTGCTGCTGGGGAAAGAGTGTGCTGTGTGTGACCCACCCCCTCGACAGCAGGGAGGGAGCATAAGGAAGCCTGTAGGTGCACAGCTCCTTCAACTCCACCTGCATCTTTCTCCCTTATGAGCCAGCTATGTAGCCTTTCTATGTCACAGGAATCTTAGCCGTGAGAACTATATACGCTGACTCCATTGGTCCTTCCAGTGGCCTTCTGAGTGTGGGGGTGGTTCTGGGGACCCTGGCATGGATACCTACACAACAGCATCTAGCACGATTGATGCTTGCCTCAGAGAAGGCACTCATGGTGCAGGAGCTGTCCCCAGGGTCACTGCTCTGCACTCAACGGACACCAGCTGCCTCATTTTTCTTTGAGGAGGAAGCTTGAGAGGTAGAGAGGCTTGCACCAGGTCACACATCTAGCACTAACAAGGGTCACCATACCTATGCCCTTTCCAGACATGACTTCTACACTCAGGACTTGGCAAAAGCTGCGCAACCACGAGAGGAGTGGGCCAGGTGGTGCCTTGGCAGCACAGCCAGCTTCTTAAGAGATTTGCTATGTTATGTTAAATACAGCACAGGGAGCCCTTCAATGCTGATCGGGATCTATATATAGGTCACCACACCTAAATCCCACACCACTGCTGGGAACCCCTCATCTCATCCTGTTGTTTAGGCACACAGAGAGCTTTCCCATATGCACCTCCCAAACCTTCACAACTGTCCTGATTCCATTGTATCTCTGTGCCCCAACAATGTCTTAAGAACCAGACTGTGGCTACAATGACAAGGAGTGTGTGCTGTTTGTCAAGAGAAGACGTCTACAGGAGGCCCTGGTCCTCTGAGTAAAGGGGCTCCTAGCAATGGGGCTGCTGTAACACACGGATGCTCCCAAGTTAGTTGCTGAGTGTACTAGTAAACCAAAATGGCTGGGAGGAGACTGCAGGGCCTCCTCACCGGATCATTCCAGAAAACCCCTCCTGCTCTGGGCCCCTGGGACCAGCCCTGCTAACTGTTTTTCAGCCCCGCCCACCCCAGGTATCAGGGATCTTCCTTTAGGAGCAGTGGCTCACTGCTGCGGTTGTTCCCACTGGGGGAAGGAAATGGGTTGCACAGAATTCTGAGGAACTCTGACCCAAGCCTCCTCCCCTTGGCCTGCAGGCTGATGCAAAGTCCATTGTGTCTCACCACCCTGGTGTCCCCCAAGCTGCTCTGGCTAACACTATGGACTCTGTCCCTGGGCGCACGCGCGTGCGAGCACACACACACACACACACACACAGTCTTACACAGTTTTAGGAGGGCTCTGTGGACTATGGAGCCATCCATTGTCTGTAGTTAAGAAGCACCACAGTAATCTTTGCCTGGCACTACCTGGTTAGGGTAAACCAGGGTTTCTCAAACTCAGCACTGCTGACATTTGGGGCTGGATAGTTCTCTGTGGAGGGGAGGGGGTGCTGCCCTGGGCATGTACGATGTTGACCAGCATCCCTGACTTTTACCCACTAAATGTCAGTGGCATTCCTCAGTTATGACAAGCAAAAATGTCTCTACACATTGCCAAATGTCCCCTGGGGGACAAAGATGTGTCTGGCTGAGAACCCCTGGGTTCAGCTATCAAGACTTTCTGCATGGTGACAGGTCAGAGTTCCTCTGTGCAGGACTCTGAGCCCTGCACACTGAGTGCACACTGCTGCCCACGGAGGATGTGGCAGTCTTGGTACCTTTTCTGCACGATGAGGTTGATGTTGCGCAGAGCCACATACTGCAGCTCGGGCTCGGCCGACAGCAGTGTGACCAGGGGCGGGGCCAGCTTCTTGAGCAACGTGCTATAGTAGTCCAGGTCCTTGGACAGCATCTCCATGAACTTCATCAGCACCTTCACTGCAGACAGCACCACCGCAGAGTTCGCATGGGAAAGCCTGGGGGTGACCCGCTCACAGATGCTGGGATCCGTTCCAAGGGGGGCAAACAGGAGAAACAGACAAGGGGAAGCACCCTGTTCTTAGTTACCAAGACAGCACGTCTTGTAAGCAGAACTAGATCCTGGCCAGGCAATCCAGGATGAAGATCTGGCCCCACTCGGTGCACTCATTCAGGGCTGTCAGCAGCTTGTTAATGGACTGTGGGTTCAGGTCCAGCAGGTTGCTGCTGGGATGAGACTCAGCAATCTCTGAGAGGGCAGCTACTGCATTTGCCACCCAAGCAGGTTAAACCACTCAGCCTCAGTTTCCCCATCTAGGAAACAGACACTGCCGACTCCACTGGGCTGCTGGAGCTCTAAGGAGACAGTGCATCTAAAGCACGGAGCACAGAGCCTGGCAGTTAGTAAACACTGGATCAGTGTCCCCTCCTCCCCTTCTCCTGCTGCAAGTGTTCCAAAGGGACACGGGGTCATGTTGCTCAGGATCAGGAGTTCCAGCTCGAAGATCTGCACGATTTCTAAGCCAGAGTTTCCTCACCCATGAAATGGGGACGACGATGCGCTGCCTGCAGAGTTGCTTTAAGGACAATCTAATGCATGGGGAGCACCCCCAGAGCCCCAAGCAGCTAGTGAAAATTCAGCCAGTGGTGATTCTGCTGTGAGCCTCAGGTGACCAGGGACTCTGCCAGCTCCCAGGTCAGGTCCTGGCTTCTGTCTGTACCCTTGACAAGCAGTGAGCTGACGGCCTAAAGCAACACCCCGACAGCCTGGCTCTGGCCTCCCTGGAAATGCGTCTGAGGTGGGACTGTGGGGCAAGACCCCAGGAAGGAGCCCACTGGAGGCCTGAGGTCCAGCTCATGGTTGGAGCCCCCAGGGATGAGATCAGCTGGGCTGGCACGCAAGGGGCAGGCTGCTCACCTCTGGGCCTCCCGGTCGTCCTTGGGCGTATAGTTGGCCAGGCAATCCAGGATGAAGATCTGGCCCCACTCGGTGCACTCATTCAGGGCTGTCAGCAGCTTGTTAATGGACTGTGGGTTCAGGTCCAGCAGGTTGCTGCTGGGATGAGACTCAGCAATCTCTGAGAGGGCAGCTACTGCATTTGCCACCACCTGATTGAGAGGGCAGAAGGGGCAGAGGCTGGGGCTAATAATACTGGCTGGTCAGAGGCTGATCTGAAAGGAGTAAGACCCAAAGGGCAGCATCTGGAGTGTAGAGACCCATTCCAAACACTCAATCTACTGACTCCTCTGTAAACTGAAACTAAAATAACTGTACCTGCCATTAAAGACAAAGAATAGGCAAAACAAAACAAAGAAAGATCTAGCTCCAAGAGCCTGGGAACACAAAGCACTTCCAGCTACCTACCACACAGCCCCCGCCTACCAGGTACAGCAGCTTGCTTCAAGGGCTGTCAGCTCTGATTCTCAAAGCTAGAAGATTCCCACAGAGCCTCTCAGGGCTGCTGGGAACAGATGAGGGCTAGAGTAGAAAGGGGTTGCCAGGAGAAGCTCTGGGCCCCCAACCCATTTCCACCCTCTGGTGTTGTAAGTGTGTTCCACATGGTTTTCGACTCTTCCCAATGACAAACAGTGCTCCAGTAGCCATCCTTATACTGGTCACTCAGTGCCAATGTGTGGTCAATGTTTCTATACGACACAGAGTGGGAAGGCTGGGCCGCGGGGTCTGTGCATTTCATTTTAAACAGGACCCGCCAAATTGCCCTATAAACTGCTGCCATCACCGTGTGAGGAGACAGGTTCCCCTCCCAGCCACATCCTGGTACTCTGTCCTCCAGGCTATGCTACTTCAAGGGCGACCCTCTACAGTCCTGCAAAAATGTGGGGAAATGGAAAAGAGTCCACCAGTGGTCTTGGTGAGAAGATGGTGACAATAACAGTGACTGGAGGAAAGGAGGGCAGTGGTCTTGGCTGCACGCCCACTGTGTGCCAGGCCACAGCAGGCACATTACCTTCACAGCTTAAGCCTCACAGCACTCCTGCCAGTCATATAGAATCAGACCCCTCTCAGTGATAAAGGAAAGAGGGCTCTGGAAGATTAGGCAGCTTGCCCAAGGTTGCACAGCTCATTAGAGAGGGCACAGAGAGGGGAATGCAGACCCAGCTCACTCCACAGATGGTGTCAGAACCACTGCAGGCACGAGAACAATTAGTTCTCCCAGCAAGGTTCTGACTTCCAGGAACTGGGGACTGCCTGGTGGTGGGCCAGGCTAAGGTCTTCCCAAGCAACTCAAGAGGTTGTGAGGCGGCACCATGGATGGCAGCAACTTACCATGGGGTTAGAGTCAGAGATGAGGTCTTTAAGGGTATCCAGGAAGCCCTGGTCCTCTACCAGCTGGGCATTGATGTCGTGGAGCTTGGCCACACACACAGCCGCTGTTTTACGTACATATGGGTCCTCATCCTTTAGGCACTTCCGGAGCGGCTCGCACAGGTACTCTGTGATCTTGTCAACGCGGATGCAACCCATGGTCCGTACAGCCAGAGCCCGGATCAGGGGGTTGGGGTCTTCACAGTCCTGAGGGGAAGCAGCCATTGGCCAGGAACAGGGGCAGGCTGAGTGCCATCAGACAGCTGCTGTGGATCTCCCACAAACTGGCTAATAGCAACAAAAGTTAAGTGCCACATATGGGCACCTGGCATTTGCCAGATTCTGTGCAGGGGCTTTAGGCAATGTTGACTCTGATTCTCACAGCAGACATACAATGCTGTTCCCACTCTATAGGTGTGGGAGCTGAAGCTCTCAGGAAGGTTGGGAGCTCACTGAATCATGGAGTAGAGCTGTGATTCAAGCCCACATCCAGCTACACAACCCTCAATTTTTCCACTGGGCCACAGAACCCCTCCTTTGCCCATATCTGAGCATCAACAGGACTAGGGGAGCTAAGGTTCTAAAGGTGCATAGAGCTGACAATTGAAGTTCCTGCTTCTTTCTCAATTTGGAGGACAGAAAATGTAGAAATGAGCAAAGTCTAGAAGGGGAACACAGAAGCTCTCAGACGCTTGCTGAATCCTGCTGGGCAAAGGATACCAGGCAATGGCTCATCCCAGGGGCACGTGGGGATCAACAGGCCTTAGGAAACCTCAAATAGACTGAGTTAGCAGGGCCTGCAGAGCTGATTTTCTGAGAGAATGGGAGCCCTCCGCTGGAAGACCAGGCCCTCAGGCTGGGTGTCAGTGGGCCTGAAAAGCAGCCTGAATGTTTCTACCCAGGGCCATAGTGCCCCACCCCAGGGATCCAGGGGTGCTGGAGCAGAGAGCACCTCTATCCCTCCTCCTCGGAGCAACTAGTCACCTTCACAAAGGTGTTGACAGCCATGATGGCCATGTCAGGCTGACTCTTGGCATAGTTCATCAAGTACAGGTACACCAGCTTCTTCAGCTCCAGGTTGTCTGTCTGCATACAGTTCACCACGTCAGGAAAAAGGGCACTGGAAGGTTTAAATGGTGTCAGTGTGGGGAAGGCTGCAGAAAGGAAAAGGAAGATTTTTCAGGCAGCTACGGGGACAGGAGACAGTGGGAGGAGGGAAGGGGAAGAACAGGACTTCCTAGGGAGGGCATCAGTGGTGCTCTGGCATCCTGAACACCTACGGGTAGAAACGGAATTCCAAAGGGTGATTTAAAAACAAAGAGTCTTCTGTTCTTTTCACAGGGTTCATAAATAAGCTCTGGCTCTGCCTCTTGGTCAGCAGTAAGAAACTAGGAATTCCTTTATCCCCTCAGTCTCACTTTCCTCATTTTCAGGAAAGGTACCACAAACCGCCCCCTTCGTCGGGCCCTTCTGATAATTAAAGAAGATAATATACTTAAGGTATCTGGTCCTTGACATCTGGCAGGTGCTAAGTAAATGAAAACAGTTGTTTTCCTTCCCTGATACTTAAGGTGGCCCCTTACATTGGGCTGCTGGTTCCAGAGGGCTGTAGGGAACCAGGGATGGGCCGTGCTGCTTTCACCACAGGGCCAGCTCAGGCGCCCGCTAAAACCCAGCCCAGCATTTACGGCTCACACACTATACACCAGGCATGGCACTGAAGGCTTTACATACTTGAACTCATTTAACAGCCCTGCGAAGCCAGAGAATTATCCCATTTTACAGAAGATAATACTGAGGCTCATCAAAGAACCTGCCTGAGGAGCTGGGTCTGACTCCAAGCCTGTGCTCATAAGTGCTGTTATTCTGGGTGGAACCCTTTCCTACACAGTACCTACCATCCGAGTCACAGGCATGAAATATGATATTCACAGATGTGAAATATGATTAGAGATCAATTTTTGTTTCTGGAATCATTACTTCCCTTCTGGCGTCTTGTGATTTTATGGGCAAGGTCATGGTAACATAGAGACTTAAGAGGTCAAAGTGAGTTTCCTGAGCCCAAACAGGCAGGAGTCTAGTCCGTGCTGAAACTGATCCATCACCTTGGAAGATGATGAACCAGGCAGAACATGGAGGTAGGGGAGGAACAGCTGACTTGCTCTTTCGGGCCATCACATCAGCATAACAAGCTCATTTGGGACAGAGGAACAAGGATGCTTCCTCTGTGAGCTGATGGCAGTGGTGCTCTAGTTGAATCTGACGTGGACAGAGGCCTTGTTCCCCAGCAGATGCCCTGATCCCTGTGCCTCGGTGTCTTCTGTCTTCCGCAGGTCTCTCTGCAGGACGGTTTCCCCTGGGGCACTGTTAGGAGGTCCCCTGCTGAGGGCGGCAACCAGACAGGGCAATCCGTGGGGAAGTCTGGAGCAGTGTGACCCGCCGTGGACTCAGATGAGGAGCTACTGCATGTCAGCACTGAGGCCTATGAGGCACGGGGCTGGCCACAAAGGAGAGGCTAGGGACAAGAGCGCCCTGGATTAGGATTTCGGAAGGGCTGGGCATGAGTCCTAGTTCTGCCATTAACCACGTGACTCTTGGGCAGTCACTGTACTCCTCTTCTACTGTTTATTTGGCAGTAAAAGCATCATTACCTACAATACAGGAATTAAGGAATTCCTAGGAAAACACAGCTGAAAGCATTCTGCAGACTCCCCAACACTGCACGAGTGTTAAGTTGTGAAATCCAGTCCCTGCCCTCAGGGACTTTACCATGCGGTGGGCGGGGAAACACCAGCACACATAGGAAGAGGACAGTCTAGAATGGGTGCTGTGAAGGGAACACAGAGCACATGCTGCACACTCAGGGCAGGGGGCTGGGGTGTGGAGGGAGAGTAACAGCCTTGCATGGGTTTTGGAAGATGGAAAAATGTGCTGGGAAAATGGAAAGGGGAATGGGGCATTCCAGGCAGGGGCAGAGCATGAGCCAAAGTGCAGCAATGTTTTTATACATGATCTGCTCCAGCAACCAGATGCAAGCAGAGGCTGCAAACTGGCGAAAACTCCAATGTGCAGGTGCGCTTTATTTGGACAGGCTCATTTGCTGTGCTTGTTTATTTAGTATCATCTGGCAATCTAAACCAGGGAGATTTACAATGAAAAATCCAGATTTCCCGTTCTTCTAAAGAATTAGAAGACTAGGCCACCTTCCCCAGTCGGCAGCAGTCTTCCGAAGTCTGACGGGGTTCAGCCACATCCACGTCATTGCCTGTGGCCATTTCGCCTAGTCTATTTCGCTCACTCCATTCCTACCTGACCTCAGCAGCATTTGAGCAGGTGACCTCCCCTTGACAAAACTTTCTGTTTGGAAAGGGGGTTCATGAAGGGAGCTGTATGAGGGAAGAAACGGATTGCTGGAGATACTCTGAGAGATGTGAACTGGACCCAAGCTATAAAGCCTCCGGCTGCCACCCAGCCTACTCCTGCACACCTGACATCTTTGCCCACAGTCATCGATGCAATCACTTTCTTCACTGCCTCCTTCTTCTTCTCCTTCTTGTCACTGTTGAGCTCTGCCTTCAGCTCGAAGATCTCCCCTAAAAAAGGAGGCAGGCATGAGCAATCCATCCCCACCCTGCCAGGAGGTAGTTCCTAGTCCCTGACTTCCAAAAGAATGGGAGGAAGGCAGGCATGTATGACGCTGTGCTGCCAGCCTAGGGCAGCTTTAGGTCCCTGGCCTGGGGTGGGACAGGCAGCAGAGAAGGACAACTGCAAGGAGAGGGATTATCAGGACGGGGGCTTAGCGGTCACGCTGGGCTGAGGAGAGAGGAACTGTAGAAGTTGTGGAGGTGGGAAGGCAGGTCCTGCTCAGCCGGATGGTCAGCAGCATTCTGAGGAGAGCCCAGTCCCCCTCAGCCACCCACACTTAAAGCCCTCACAGCAGCACGGGATGGAGTCTGGGACGCAAGGTTTGAAGGGAGGGCGTAGAAGCTGCTTGATCCCCATACTTGGCTTTTCCTCTGTTCCTAGAACCTCCAGTTAAAACAGCTCACTCAGGGTTTCACTTCCTGAGCCACAAGTGGTTGCTCAGCTCTGAAAATGGGAATCCAGCTGCCCCACAAGGGTTTAAACACATAATAAGCTGTTCTTAAGAACTTGATCTGGAAAAGAAAATGAGGAAACAGGGTTGCCATGGAGAGGTGGTTAGGGCCCAGAGAGACCCAGTGACAGATTGAGAGACGGCATCTCCTGAACTTTTCTTTAAGCAGATGCCACACTAACTGCTTCCCGTGCTTCTCATTTCATCCTCACAACTCTGCATTTCCCCCATTTTATAGATGGGCAAATGGAGGCTGTAAGAGGCTTGGTAACTTGCCCAAGGATACATGGCTGGTGGGAGACAGGGCCAAGAATCAAAACCAGGTCTGCCCGCTCCAAAGCCCATATGCTCAGGCTGACTGAGGCCACCACTTTGCTTCTCAGAACCCACTTCCTTGTCCGTATTCTCTACCTTGACAGGACTGTTGAGTTCTCTCATTTAATACTCAGATGTAAAATACTCATCTCAGTGCCTGGTACTCAGTGGCCTGCATTAAAACTGGCTGCTATTAGCATTAACTCACCACGTGACCCTTATCTTGGACCCTCTTTTGTAGGAGAGTCCTGAGATTCCCTCTCAAGTTATTGGGGTGGGACGAAGCAGGGACTGTCATGTGAGGGGAAGCGCTGAGGGAGTTCTAGATGGATTTACAGTGAGCAAAAGAGAACTAGCACATTTTTATCATGACTGAACAATGTGGAGCTCAGCAAAGAACTTGAGATGAGAGTCAGCAAACAAGGTTAATGAAGAACAATCACACAGCACAGCCCGGGTTAAGGCCACACTGAGGATATTGCTCAACAAGATCCACAGACCTTGCAGTTCAAACTCATGCCTCTGTAGGGCCGAAAAAGCACACAGCCCTTCCTCCCAAGAGACTAAGGGGGCCATGTCTCTGCTGTGGGATCTGCCACACCACAATGACTTTGACCCTTGGGCCTTGCTGCAAGGCTGCCTGCTTTGCTTACTGTTTGGTCAGAATCAGTATAACCCGGCCATCAACTGATGGATCTGGGACTGAGTCACCTCAGCCCCAAGAAGGCTGGTGTGACGAACTTGGGATATGCCTGCTTCTGAAATGTCTCCTTCGTCTAATGGGCCCCAAACCCAATGAGTCACTGAGCCTACCCCCTCAACCAAATGCAAGGCATCTGATCTGTCTGGCCCCAGTGCCACCCCTGCTCCTTGTTTGGGTACTACTATTTCTCACTGTAGCTGTGGTACTGGTGATTTCCCTGCCTCTCCTTAGCTTTACCTCCTTCAATCCTTTATTAGAATCTGTTTCTGGGCTTCCTTTGCTTAAAACCATCACTGATATGAGATATGGACCCTCTACAGACATTCTCTTCAAAAGAAAACCCATAAAAACCTCACACTGACACCCTAATATACTCAGCATTGAGTTCACTCGCTCCTGGCCCTGAACATGGAACCCTGCACACCTCTCCAATCTTCCTTCCATCACACTCTTCAGTAACTTGTGCCCAACTGCTCTCCTTTCACTGAATGTACCATGGGCATAGCACCTGCTCCCCGCCCTCCCCTGCCCCACCTTATCTAACTAGCTCCACCAGGGTCCTCCCACAGCCCCCTGCCCTCCTCTTATCAGAGCACCCACTGCCTTTGAGTGTAACTACTATTTAAGTTACTATTTAAGTCTCTGCTCAACTGCAAGCAGAGCCAGTCCAGGACCTCTGTTTGTCTCCTCCACTGCACTTGCAAGGTGCTCAATAAAAATGGGCTGCGCTAATAAATGAAGTGCCTGATGGAGGGTTCAGCTGAGCCAGCAACAGACTCTTCATCTGATCGGCAGGCGTGTGTCAATCTCACTTGGAAGTAAGGAGGGAGGAAGGAAGGGCAGGTCAGAAAGACGCTTACAGGGTTAAAGCACATTTGTCAGCCACTATGACAACCTCCACTTCCCAAAAAGCAGAAATAACCACAATATCCAACAACATAAGGCTAGCTTAGCAAATTTCAGCACAGCAACTCAACAGGCTGATGCTGAGTTGTTAGAACCATGGGGAAATGTTTACGATAATATCAAACGAAAAACAGGATATACACTCTGACTTTAACCACATTAAACATGTGCCCATGGATAAGGACCACGCACACACATTCCACAGTGGAGCTGTGGAGTTGCTGATAGGATTGTATGCTTTCTTTCCTCCAGGAAAAAACATATTTAACAATTTTAAGCCAAGGGGAACCAAAGAGGGCTTTTTTCTATACTTGGAGCTAATGCTCCTCCTTTCTTGAGTTCCAAAGGAAGCAGTCAATTCCTCATACCATCAACAGTTTTCTACTTTCTGGATCCACAAGGTCAAAGATGCTCTGGATAATGTCCACCACTCACTTCCAGGCCTCCACCCCCACCACACTCCCCACCCCCTGCAGGGAGCAAGCAGAGGGCCGAGCAGGGAAAAAGCAGGACAAGACCCCATAAGAAAACAAGTAGTACCTTTCTTGGTCGTGGTGAAATATTTTGAGTCAGTCATTTTGGTCCTTTATCTGGGGCCAGGGTCTGCAAGACAGAAGAGAGGTGGCTTTCTACTACATTCCATTTCAGTTTCAGTTACGGAGCATAGGAGGAGGAGAAGGAAGAGAGAAGGGTCTAGCACACTTGTGGTATGGAAAGATAAGAAGCTAACTCTTTACTGGTTATGAATGAAATGTTAGATCATGGCTGATCCGATTTTGGAACGTAATTCGGAGGGATCCAATTTTTCAAAGTTTCATATCCTTTGACCCAGCAATTCTAGGAATCTCCCCTGTGGAAATACCTGCACAAGGATATATAAGGGTTATGCTGCAGTGTGCCACTGGAAATAGCTTAAGTGCCCATTCATAAGGAAATGGCTAAATACTCCAGAAATCCACACATGCAAAGGCACCCTCTGTGGAGCTCACTCTGCCCAGCACTGTTCTAAGTGCTGCACACATGTTAACTCAGTGAAGCCTCATCACAGCTTCAAGGAGGTACTATCATTACCCCATCTAGTCAAATGAGCTTGGAAAATGCCAAGTTTGAAAAGCTAGGGAGATTTCTTCTCCCCCAACTTTTCTGAGCTTCTCTAACAGTGATATGCACTATTCATCTCTACAGAGGGCTAGAATCTACACATTGAAGACTCTATAGCATTCCCCAAACCTAACTGACCAGTTTTCTCAAAGCATCTCTCAGGACAGACATCTTCCAGTGCAGAACTCACAGTGTGAAGTGCTGTTCTAGGCCAACAGGACAAAAAAAGCTCCCACGTCCCTTCGTTCATGCAACGAACATTTACTGAGCACATACTCTAATAACCCCAACAGATCCTCTTGGCCAGCCCAGCAGATGAGAGATAAAAGGAGCCACACAGGAACCAAATACCCTGGATATATGACAGAGGCTCCTGGGGTGGTTCTAACATTTACTAAGGAGTTATCACTTACTGAGCTCCTAGTCCACCCAGGGGCTTTACATACATTATCTTATTTAATCTTACAAATAAGGCAACTATTTTTAAACTCACTTTTACTGATGAGAAAACTGAGGCTCAGGGATATTAAGTCTTACCCAAGGCCACATGGCTCTTAAGTGGCTGGATTTGGAGACCATGTCAGGGCAACCTGTCCTCAGCACCTGTGCTTTATCAAGGAGGAAATTCTGCTTCTCCCATCTGAGAGGGAGGATGGAGCCCTGAAAATGACTAAGGACTCAGTCCAAAAATCTGAGACTTTCAAGTGCAACCTTCCAGTTCTACCTGTAGTTTCACATGGTACAGAAATCACACAACCACAAAAACAGACATATGAATGTTCAAAACTCACTCACTTTGTCCCTTCTATTGACTCTATGGAAAAGGGTCAAACATATAAGCCATTACTGTCTCGCCAGTTGATCACTGTGGGCGTAAGGTAAGGGCTACTGGTGGGACAGACGTAAGGGGTCGAGGATCATCACCGGTCTCTGGACACAGAGCAAACAGAGCTTCTCTCCAGCCCAGCTGTGTTCTCCAGGCTAAGCTTGTATTTACAGCAGGATGGTAGTGGGGCTGTTCCCCAACTGAGACACCCACAGATTTTGCTTTAGTAATCAGTGGGAAACAAATATGTACTGTCCTGGGGCTGCCTTAAATCCTTTGTGGATCCCCATTAGAATAAAGGCTTTGCTGATAAAATAGTATAAAGAGAAAGGCACAATTCTACTTTCCTTTTGCTTTGCAAGATTGGAAAGGGGTGATGGCACTTTTCTGAAGGAGCTACGGGAAGAGCAGAAGAGGCCACTGCATCCGACGACGCTGGTTCCACGGGGGGACTCTAAATTGCAGGTCCTGGCAGCAGGAGTCAGGGCTGTAGACAGATCTACAAAGGAGGGCTCACGCGCTGGCCTGAGTTCCACACATCCTCCGCCTTCACGCCAGGCCCAGGGCTCCACGTGGGGCCAGTGTTCAGTTAATGGTTGTTGAAGGAGCTGAAAAGCGGATGCCAAAAACCCCAGGAAGCCTCAGCCTGCTCTGTGATGTGACTATTTAGCATTTGTTTCTACAGTTTACTTTAAAAATAATTTTCTTTTGAGTACTCATAAAGCCACTTTCTCAGAGAAATCTCCCCAACCTAGAGGTTCTTTTTGGAGTGCTGAAGGTAAACAAGATAATGGGATCTCTGTCACAGCAAAGGGCTGCGTGGCTTCGGAAGTCACAGACATAATCAACAGAGATATTCAAATTAGGAGAGCACCCTAGGCTAACTCAAGGTTAAGTTTAGGCTAAGAATGAAGGCAAAAGGGACTAAAAGCCACAGGCCAACAGAATCCCAGAAAGTAACACATAAACCCCTCCAGTGTTAAATCTAGAAGGAAATCAAAGTGAACAAAGCAAAAACTACCTTAGGTGTCTAACTTCAGTGCTGCCCAGAAATTCTCCCTTCTCCAGAAGAGGAGGCTGAGAGGGACTTTCCCCTTTACCTGTGGTCACAACACAACATCTGGGGCTCTCTCTATATTCCCAGAACACAACCTGCTGGTGACAGATCTGTGTTGTATGCAACTGCCCAGGCAGAGGTAAGGGTGGTAAAGCTGTTCTTTTGGGGGGATTAAAAAAAAGCCACAGAGCAGCAGTCAGTCAAACCACAATTGCTGACACGTGTACAGCACTGGGCTTTTGAAGACACTCATCGTTTTACAGGTGCTAAGCAACTACTCACAGACTTAAACTGCCACCAGTGTGTGGCACTGGCTGCTGCTCTTCTCTGCAGTATCCGTTTCACATATCCCTCTGCAGAGGGCCTGATGGGACCGATGATGCAGAAATCGTATCCCTCTAAAGTTGTTTATACAGGAAATTAAAGTCGAGGAGGAATGGGAGGTGGGACAAGTGAGAACACTTTTGCAAAGACACCCCAGAGCACAGATTTAAAAAACCTCACTTCACTGTGAAAGATCAACTGCATCAGTTTTTTTTTAATTTAGAATAAAGTTTATATACAATATTACATTGGTTTCAGATGTACAAAATAGTGACTTGATAATTATACACATTACTAGATGCCTGCCATGATAAGCATAGTTACCCTATGACCATACCAGGATATTACAATATTACTGGTTATATTCTCTATGTTCAACTGCACCTTGTTGATCCACTAAAGGTGGCTATTTCCTTGTGTCCTTCTCTGCAGTTACCTCTAAGTTTTCAGTGCAAGAGATGTTTTTCATTCTCTCTACGGGGATGGAAACAGTCCTAAAGGAGCTCAGACTTGCAGATGCCACAGGAAAGATGTGTGCTTTTCTTGGCACTGCTCAGCTGTTGCCATACATTGTATGCCTACTAATAGAGGCCAAAAGAGTTAAAACTTTGTTTGATGAATCTGATCAGGTACATGAGTCACAATGCAAAGCTGGCAGCCAATTTAGGCAAGAAAAAGAAGCTTAGGGTTTGAATTCCATCTTTGGACGTGGCAGAGCACATTTTGAAAAAGCAATAGTTGGAGGTAATTTTTGGTTCAGAACTGCTCTGGCCAATATAATGAGTCACTTTTGCTATGGAGGCAGCATTCTGGGCTGGAATACCCCTCAGTTTCACCATTTACAGGCCAAGGAATTATCTCAAGGGGACGGCAAAGCCAACGAGAGTGGCGCACCTGGACGGACCGGTTTTGTCTCTGAGGAGCCACGCCTACAGTCCTGGCCTTAAATCTACCTTCCCACACACGCAAGATACGACTCTGAGGCCACATCTCCAGGACCAGTCCCTGTTCATCCTTTTTTTTAAATCCTACTGACATGTCTGCTTTCTCCTGCCGCTAGGCTTAAAGAAAAAGAACTGAGTACTAAAGCCTGAAATAAAGAGCAGTTTTCTCTTGTTTTCTAGAATTATAAAGAAGTTCTTGGTGAGACTCACTGACACACTGACCAGGGACAAAGATGTAATGCAATAATTTAAGAGTGGAAAAATGAGCTCTTAGGAAGAAAAGGGAAGGGGGAAAACTTCACTTAAAAATTTCCAGCTAAAGACTTGGGATTTTAGCCACTGGAGTTAGGGTTAGATCTAAGGGGGAAAAAAATCCTAAATAGTTTTCAAAAGTTTGAGTCTTCATGTATCTAAATGTAATTTTATGAACAAGAGATAAAGAATATCCTTCTGTGCTATAAGTCAATAAAATGAATTTAACTCTGTAAAAAAATACTTAAGAAAATGAGCACTGACTATATTTCAACTTTTCTCCAAAGTCTCCAAATTGTAATTTTTAAAGTAAAGAGCATTGAACTGAAGCTACTGTTTACTTCCTCTTTACAATTCCCCTCTTGAAAATGGGGACATCACCACCTGATGCTCTACTTATTTCACATATTCCTTCTGACAGGGATAATGTGAGAATGAAACCACACCGACAAGTATAAACAAATATCGTGAATATCATGGGCTTCCATTTATATCAGAGTCCAGAAGAAGCAAAACTAACCTACGGGGATAGGAGTCAGATCAGTGGATGCTTCTCAGTTGGGGCACAAAAAAAACTCAAGGGGTGATGGAAATGATCTATGAGTATCTTGATGCAGACACTGGCCAAACTGTACACTTAAGCGCTGAGCATTTCACTTGGTGTAAATGCTACAAACATTAAACTTTTCAAAGAACAAGATAAAATCTAATTCTGGAGAGGAAAAATAGAACACTGTATAAGCTAGAGGAAGTAAAGCCTTTCTGAGTATGACATAAAATCAAGAAGTCTTAAAAGATCTATGGGTTCCATTACATAAAAATCAAGTTTTCCTGCATGTCCAAAAGCATAATAATAATAAAAAGACATATGATAAACACACACACATAAAACTGTGTATCACATTGTAGACAAAACCCTATTTTCCTTACTACAAAAAAAAAATAACTACAAATAGGAGAATGACAAAAGATGTGGCCTGTTTACAGACAATGAAGAACAATGGTTTGGGCTTACTTTTAGTAAGAGAAATAGACATTGCAACTATAGTGAAATACCATCCATCAGCCACTGGACTGGTAAAGACCCCAGTGCATAACT